GAATATAGAAAAAGGAAATTTAAAACCTATATTATGTCTTGAATAGTATTTAGCTATCTAGAGAATTTGATTATCTAATTACATAAAAGTACTGCAACCACTATATATAGGTTGGCCTCCAAGTCATAACTAGAATTGGCATGCTTGTTTTTCAAATGTGACTTAATATACAGTATAACAAGTGAAGCAAGAGTTGATTCCAAGCTATTCTAACTCCAAATACTATATATCAAAATAAAGCAGATCTTTTATTATATATATATATTTAATATTGATACTCTATTTGAACATATCATTAGAATTAAAGGTTGAAGGACAGCAATTGTCTTTAATACCAAAGCAACCCTTTGACAATATTAATTTTTTATCATTTTTATCTAATATAGATCTCTCATTTTAAAACTTATTACTAAGACTATAGATTAAGAGATGTCAATTAATCTTATTATTGGAGTGGCTTTGAAGAACATGTTTTGATTTTAGAATAAACCAGAATCAGAGAGTATAAAACAAGTTTGAATATAAAGTAATAATTTGTTAAGGAAAGTGAGATTGGATTTTCTTAAAGATGTTGATATCTAACCTTGTATAATAAGCTTATATTGTCAAAGGAGTAAGTAAGAAACTTTTATTATTGTTATCAGCTTATGTTGCAAGAGTAACTAAAATTCCTGGTCTTTATATATTATTTTACTAAATTCTTCAATTACTAGTATAATATCTGCAGATAAAAAAACTCTTTTTGCTGATCCTTTTGCCAACACAAAAAAACAGATGTTCCAAGGAAATTTTATATTTCCTTGTAATAAAGTCTATACACTTTTATTAACAATATTTATATCAAGAAACAATAGTCTCCTCCACTTGTTTCTTTCTTTCTTTGACATAAACTTTCTGTATTTCTGCAAGTAAATACAAAAAATATCTATCTACAAAATTAAAGGCAAAAAAACTTTGTTAGAAAAAAGAATCTGTAGAAAAAATACCCTCCTTTCTTCTTCCAGAAATTCAAGACTCTAGAAAAGACTGACACAGTTTTTGGAACTCTTTTCTCATCTTCCAGAAATTCAAGACTTTAGAAAAAACTGACATAGTTTTTGAAACTCTTTTCTCATCTTCCTCAAGCTTTCTCCTATCTTTTCAAGCATATAAACTTTTTTCTGATTTTTCTGAGGAATTTTACCTACCTCAGTTTGATTCTGAATTTTTGGTTACACCGGAATCCTTGAATGGTGATTGGCTTAAATTTTGGACTGGTTGATCTACACATAGCAAGAAATGTAAACAAGACATGTAACTCCTACATGCTCTATTTCGTACAACATAAAACCTGATGATGCAATTGGATATAGTGAAAGGAGCAAGGTAACGAGGCATTCTTTTTGTTAAGAAGCATTATAGTGATTCCCCTCCCCTCTTGGACTGGTTTCTTTTCTTTTCAAGATTAAAAGAAGTCTCATTTCAATTCAGTAAGAAGCTTCTGTTATTGATTATCCTGAGAAGGCAGCAAGCATTAGTGTAAGTCTTGTCTCAAGCAATAATTCTCTTAAGAAGTATAAGACTGGTTTCAAGCAGTATGTCAATTTTGTAATAAGTACCTTGAACGTTCTTGGTCAGCAAGAGAATAGTGGAAATTAAATGGTTTGCCTGACTGCAGGTGATGGTAAAGGATTTATCCTGATGGACCAAAGTTGATATTGGAGAGTTTTTATTTACCAGAACAAACTTTTTATTTCACTTTTTTTTCTTAAAAATAAAAATTTTTTACCTTTTAGAATCACAGGTTCGTGTTGAGGTGACAGTCTGAATATAGGCTGGCAATAATTTTTCTTAAGACCAAGGAGCAGTCTTAGAAAAGGAGGGATTTTATCATTCCTCACAATCATGCTTAGAGAGTTAAGATTTGGAAAGTCTAAAATAATTAATATTATACAGTAATAGCTTAATGAACCTACTTCCTTATAATGAAATAGTTAGTAAATAGCTAAATCATGTGGGCAACATGGTAATCTTGATATTAAGGATTCAAGGATCATGTACAAATCTAAAAATAATTTGTTGACGGGTATTCTGCAATAGGTATAGTTTAGCTCTAATATAAAACCTTAGGGTTCCATATATTATTGTTTTATTTATATTTAAAGATTAATAAACACAATGATTGCAGTTTGATTAGAGGCAAAAAAAAAATAATAATAATAATATCTGCAAATTAATTTAACTTATTGTTAGTTATATTGATATTGACTACCATATCCCTCTAAATACAATAGGGCACAATTTCTTGAATACTTTTAAATAATAATAGTTGTATATCAGTTTCTTAGATATATCTAATATAACTATCAATAAGTAAACAATATCAGATTTGATAATAATAATTATGTCAATCTTTTGAAAGAAGTAAACTATCTATCCTTTTTTTATAAGACCATAGAAAAGAAAAAAATTCTGAAGCTCATGTCTTATAAGAAGTTATTTTTTTTGAATATAATTTTAAGAAAAGAGAGCCAACTGATTAGAGAAGTAATATTATATAGAGTGGAGTTTATAAAAGAAAGAGAAATCTAAAAAGAAAATCTTTAGAAAAAAAGGAAAATTTAACTTTGACAGGAAAAGGAAAAAGAGAAAGAAAAGAAGTGGAATAAATAAAAAAGTATGTAAAAGAGAGGGAAGAGAATAAGAGAAGAAAAATAAAGAAATATAGAAGAGAGAAAATAAAGAGAAAGTAAAAAAGAAAAGTAAAAAAAGTAAACAACTCAAAAATTTTCTAAAAAGGAAATTTTTAAGCATAGAAGAGAGAATAGAAAAACTTTTTTTTTTTTTAAGGATTAAAATATGATATATACAAAGATTTTATTATAGATTAGAAGATTACAAGTAATTATTATATAAACAGTCTTAGTTATTACTAGTTAACTGATAACCTTACTCTTATTCTAACTTAAGTATCAACTTACATTTTAGGGATGAATTTATATATAGGCATGGACTATACAGAGAACTATTTTCTTACCTATTAACTATTACTAGGGTCCTTATTACTTTCACTTCCTATGACTCATTTTTTTTGATCTCAAGGATTTACTTTTTTACATTTCCTAATAAATGCTTTAAGAGTTTGTTCTTATGATTGATATAGACTACCAAATCTGAATGTTCTTCACCAGGTAGAGCATGACTCCTGAATCTTTTAATAAATACTCCATAGGTCTCTTAGTTGACTTAGGTTGTCAAATCTAGAGATACAAATATCAAGCAAGATATAACTTCTATAAAGTGACCTGAGTTTATTTCAGTCTGTTATATCCATAGGGTGATCATCTTTAAAGTTATTTAATCGGATTAATAGACTTTTTTTTTATAGTCTTGTGAACTAAACTATAAAGGGAAAAATAACTTGAAGAGAATCAGGAAATGCACCAAATGTAACATTGATTATCATAACACTAATCAGATGATCAATACATCATGATACTAATAGGAAAAGGTTTTTTTTTTGTATTAATTATTTCTATAGATCTTGAATTTAATTTATTATATTTTTAAAAATATTATTGATATTTAAAATTGAAAAAATATTTAATATTAAAAACTGTATTATATAATAAAATTTATATATTGTTAATTTATCTTTATAAATTATAAATTTAATATTAAAATCTTGAAACTTTTATATAAGATATCTTTAAATAAATAATAGCTTTTATAAAATTTATAAAATTTTTTAATTATAATAATAAAAATTAATATATAGATCAAAATTGAAAAAAATTTTTTTTGTAGAGTTTTTTTTAAATCAAAAATTTAATAAAAGTTAAAATAATTTAATAATTAATATAATCAAATTTTTTTAAAAAATTATATAATAAAGTTTGAGTCTTTCTATATTAGTGATAAAAAATTTGATATATTTTAATAAGACAATTGTTAAGAAAAGAAATCTTAGAGTTTAACTTTTTGACTTTAAAAAAAATTTATTTAAAAACTATAACTTCTATTAATATTATTATATAATTAATTTTTTTTTTTATAAATTATATTCTTTTATTTTAATGAAATTTCAACTTTTATTAATATTTAAATTTAAATATTAAAGTTTATTTTTTTTTGAAGTTAATAATAAATTTTTTAAACTTTTTATATTTTATATAAAATTAAGTATCAATATTTATATAAAAAACAAGAATTTTATTTATCAAATATTTAAAAATAGATATATCAAATTTTTTTATAACTTGAAAACTAATTTATAAAAAGTAATTGCAATACTTTTATATAATAAAATAATTACTTAAATACTTTTATTATATTATTAAATTTGTTTATTGTATTATATTCTTTTTAAAAAACAAATATATTATTATTTGAAACTAATCTATATATAATGAATTTTCTCTAAATGCACATTTTTTGGAACCATAGAAAATTTTTTGAAAAATGTGCATTTATAGAGGTATGCATTTATGGAGATAATTTTATTAAGAGTTCTATATACTTGAAACCAAGCTTGACTATGTATTTAGAGAGAGAAAATATAGTAAGTGCATTTAGAGAGGTCTCTCTATAATATAGTTACAATACTTTTATATAATTAGATATCAATTATTTCTAAATAATTACTGTAAATACTATTCAAGATTTAAAATAGGTTTTGAAATTTATTTTATTATAATTTTGAATAATATTAAAAGCATAAATAAGTAAACTATTTTAAAAAGATTGTAATCTTGCTTTTAACCAAGTCTAAAATTGTAATTATACTATAAGTGTAATAATGATCTTGTCTCAAAAAAAATTTTTTTTTATTGTAAATTATAAAATATATTTAAACCATTTGAAAATTTTTAAAACAAATAAGTTTTTATTCTAAAACATTATTTTTTAAACAAATATACAAGATTTTATAAAGTAGAAAGTTTTGATAAATTACACCAGAACCTTGAGTTCAAGCATTTAACTCTATTCTTAAAACTATTAATCTTGATAAACGAACTGTATTAAGTGTTATCTTCTACAACTTCCATTGGATCAAGCAGATCTTCGCTAGCATCGAATGAAGATCTTAAATCCAATAATCTCAGGCCGTGTTCTACATGAGAAATTAATAGACATTGTTGAATAATACTTTCAAGTGCCTGATTTTCTTTCTTGTAATCTTCAATTAGTCCTCCTATTTGTTCTTGGTTAAACGTTGGAAATCTTCTTAAAAGTTGTTCTGGGGTACTTGCAAAGAAAGCACCACTGGGAGGACTAAACCACTGATATAACGGCATATCTAAATTTAAAATATTTAATTATTGAAATGAATATCAATCATATTCAAGTTGTATAAAATTCCAGTAAAATAAAACCGACCAGTTCTTGTACTAATAATTTCCAAAGTGTGATATAAAACAGTGTCCTTGATTCGTTCGTTTATATCATCATCAGACATGTTATTTGTGTTTGATATAGAGTCCCACCTTTAAATATAATAAGCATCTGATCAACTAAAGAACTGAAGCAATTTCTGGAAAATTTTTGAGTATCCTACCTGTCATTAATGTAAATCCTTCGCCAAATGGTTTGCACTAATGCGCGTCGACGATCATCGGGCAACTTATTTATATAAATAAAAATGTTAATATCAATGTCATCTCAAGCTATTAAGGTGAAATTAATATATTAGATTACCGTTTCATCATTTAAAGCAAATTGCAATGCAAAAGGAAAATCATCTTTCTCCTTGTAATTTCTAAGAGTCATGACTTCTATAAATTCTTCTGTTGAAATTTTTACTTCTCGTAAAATACATGGCACATATTGTATGAACAACTGTGGATCATAAAGGTTAGGTTAATTTAATTTGTTAAACTTGTCGATGTGTTTTAAAGATTTCCACCTTTGCCAGGGACGGCCTTGTTTCTAAAATACCCGGAATAATTTTCTCAGCAACCGCAATTGCTTGTTCATTTTCGTCAACGTTTGACTTGTTTGACGCAAGGATAACGTCAACAAATTGTTTCTGAATCTCTTTATAGGCGTAAACGAGTTCGAATCCATTTTCGATTTCTACAATTTTAAATTATTAGATCAATCATCCTATAAACCATTCGATACAATTTCGAACTACCTTCAAGAGTATTTTGCACCTCTTCGTTTTGAATATCCACTTCATCTTTCAATCCTGCTAGATAAGTCAACTTACTCACACTAAGGAACGTCTAAAAAACGAATAATTAGTGTAATTATTATCAGAAGCGGCGCGGCAAAAAGATTTATTTGTAGAAAGAAATATACTTCTATATTCTCAATTCGTTTTTCTTTTAGAGTCAATTGTCGAGTTTTGATGGAAGCCTCATCATATTCACCCATATTAATATCATGAATCCAAGAAATTCCTCTTAAATTTCGTCCTTTTAAAAATGACTGAAGCCATTCCTTGTGTTCTAATGCATGAGGTTGACTCAACAAATCCGCGTATCGTTCTTAATAGATAATTTAAAATTATGACAAGAAAGTAAAAGTTGAGCTCAAGTGGTTTGATTCTATACCTTTTTCAAGATACCATTCATATAACACATAAGCGAATTTTTCTTTATATTTCCTCATGTATGCTTCAGTAAGTTCATCAATATTTAAATCCGATTCCATTATCAAAACTACTAAAGATTTATAATCTTCGTAAGTTTCACCAAGTTCCAATGCTCTCACGTTCCTTCCATTGAGGACTAAAAAATAGAATATATAACATTATTAATTATACGAAAGAAGTTTCAAATCATTCACTGAAACTACCTAGTTTCTTTAACACATCTGTCCATTGATCATGATATCCTTTGGCGTAATCTTTCTCGACGATGTCATCGCTATACAAATGTGACGAACCATTGAATATGTTATCAGGTTTATGTAAAAGAATAAAACGTATCAGTTCATACCAATATAACCGTTGAGCAGTTATTCCAAAAAAGAGATCTGCTAATCCGACTAATTGATCCTTAAGCTTTTCAACTTTCTGAGCCTGCTGCTGGGTATCTTCACCTTTATTAAGCGAATGGGGTCCTTTGTTGGAATCTTGAAGTATATAGCTTCTAATGACAGCGTCAGTATCTTCAAATTGCTGATGAAGAACTTTTAAAAGTTCAGGTTGAACTGGTCACCGAGAAAAAATATAAAGAGGTCAAATGATATTTTTTATGAATTGCATCATATATAATTCAACTTACATGTCCAGGATTCTTTAGAATCATTCGTCGTTATTGCGTATAGATTCTTGTTATTTCTTCGAAAATCAAATGCTGATTCAAAAGCAAGCTAGAGCAACAATCAATTTATTATTTTATGTAAGTTAAGTGCTTATTCAGGTGAATGGAATTTAAAAGAAAAAAGAAAAAACATTACTATACCAGTATAATTGCATTTGATTCAAATACTGCTGTATTTCGCGCAGTGGGATCAGAGATATTTTCGGTAATTCGTTGGATATGAGTGAAAATACTACTAAAATCTCGAATCTAATTTATATAGGATGTATCAGTTATAAACATTTTAAATTAAAAAATAGGAGAAAAAGTTTCTTACACAAAAACGGAAGAAAAATCTGACAAAATCTTCGCTGGGCACTATTTTGATTCCGCGATCCTGAATATAATCACTAATTGCACTGACCATCAATTTACGATGAGACTCTTCTGAACCATCTCGACTAAATGTTGATCAATACATGAAATTTGTAAGGCATAAAAAAATGTATTAACAACATATCATTTTCCACTTACGCATAAGATGTGTCATAATGTTCCCACAACTTTCTTGCACATGTCATCTTTTCTGAATTCCAAAATAATCGTTGTTTTGTAGGAAGGTACAGCTAAATATTGTATTTAACAATTCAAATAATGAGCTATAAGAAGTCAATTCAAAACATACTTCACAATCAAACTCACTTTATTCATGATACCACTATTGTTGATGAATTGAACAAGTGCAGTCATCTTATTACATCTTTCGCTAAGATGAACCTTCAAATCATTCGAACTATCCAAATATTGAGACCCTATAACAAGATTATTAGTTCTCATATGAAGATTTGTTGAATTATTATCAAGTCATAATGCTTACGAAAGTCCAGGATTTCTTCGTTAATATCAACGACAACTTGATTAATATCTCCTCTGAATTCTGGTGATAAAGTACATTCTACTGGAACCTTAATGAATCTCAAGTCAGATTTTAAATACAGCATAGATACCGAAATGTTAAAAAGATTCTCAACAAATTACATTATTATCACTCGTAAGAAAAACTGCCTGTTCCAATATAAATTTCAACTCTTTGTTTATTTTCGCCTGTGAAATTATATTTGTGTTAAGCAAAATCTTTAAATAGAAAGATCACCGCAATAATAATATTGACAATTACCTGTGAATCTTCTATGTCCATTTCATTATACCTAAGTTTATAAGATAATGAACGGATAATCAATAGTGATAATATTAATAATCCAAAAATAAATTACAAGCTAAAATTAAGATCTTACTGATTTTGTGGAAGCGATCTTTTAATTTCCGCAATGTTTAGTTGACAAGACAGAATACCAGTTTTTGTTGTTAAGACATGAATTTGACTGATAATATCGTCCTTATCTTTGGAAGGTCCTGACTTGGAACCCTCCGCACAAAAACCAATTATATTATCATTAATTGGATCTCGCATTGTTATAATGTTATTATAACTGGCACCTGAGATGATAAATGTACAAAGTATTATTTCTTTGTCCACTTTCAGTAATTAATCACATAACAATCTTTACAAAAAAACCTTTGATTATTGTTGTAAGAAATATGGCTTGAGGAAAAACCACAAAAACTGCTGGACCACCATTAGGCATTATTAAATACGCTTGTGGTCCGAGAGAAATGTTCTATGGTAAAAAAAGCGGATAAGTCTAATAATGAACCAAATATAATAAAGAGATATATGGATACTTGTCTAAATAAACATACACTTTGAACCTTTAAAGGTAGACATCTAACTATCTTGTATTGTACGCTATCAAAAGCATGTTCAGATGTGTTCAATAATATCAAGTAATATGATGTACTCATTGTTTCAAAGTCCATTTGACTTGAAGTTGGAACACTTGACAGAAGAATTACCAATTCCCCACTTCTATTTACGGATTGAAGGTATTATATCAACATGACTTCAGAAATATAATATCGATAAATAAAAAACTACCTCGCATATTCTAAATCCAGTAATCTGACTTCTGCTTCTTCTATTTCAAAGCTTCCATCACTAACACGGATTTCTTGTACAATGGATTTATAAATATCATATCCCGATAAATACTAGAGTGGATTGTAGGTCTGAGCATTGAAATTTCTGGTGAAATCAAAAAATATATGGATTACCTTTGGAGAAGAACTACGCGTTACGGGAAGATCCCATTTTTCCAATGATTTTTCCAGCAACACGTACGCTTCGCTACATATTATTATTGTTTTTATTATGTAAAATCATTTAAATTGTATAGAGGGAATGACATTATTTCCAACCTGACAAAGCTCTTTCCGAGTTTAGCACCTAATGTTGTTGAGACAATTCCGCCGTAATTTCCATTAATTGCCCCATTTTGCCAAATGTAGGAGCTTATTTGCGATATAATTCCCCCGGGCCGAGGGAATAACGTATAATCAAGCGTGCGTTTTCCATCGGACTGGCAAACATTTATACGATACAAGGCTGCACGCTCTGTTCCAAAAATTATCGCCCAATTCTCTCGTGGTGATCTTTTGGTCTAATAACCCGAATGATATAGGTGCCTTAGTATCTAATAGAAAAAGATGGCATAAATGTTTAAAATCATACCTCATGACACGCCAGATAAGTTCCTCGATCTCCATCTTGGAGATGTAACTGTAACCCCTTATACTTATTGGCCTCTGTCATTGCGTATGATATATCTTCCCAATAGCGAAATTCCCCTTGTGGAGTACATGCCAACAATCCTGGCTTGGATCCTTCGACCGAAGGTATAATACAAACCAATGGGAGATTGTAATGAGACTCGTTTGAGTCGAGCGGTTCATTTCCACAGACAGGCATTTGGAACTTATAAACAGTATCGGGTCGCTTAAGAGGTTGCTGAAAGGAATGAGATTTACTAATTTAATATACACAAGTTTATGTGTATAATGATATTTTATCAAATGAATTCATCAGGCAACCTTATCATGATCTTTTTTGTAATCCCAAAGGTAACAGTGAGTCAAGGTGAACACTGCGGCATGACCCGTGGTCCAATTTAGAACGCCGTCATATACCTCTTTAAGAAAATACACACGTGAAGATTAACTGCACCAACGCTGATCGGCGAACTTTCTTATTATGTACTTTGGATAGTAAAAATGAAAGGCAAAATCACCAGTAGTATGCAATAATTCTTCAACCTCTTTTGGTAGATACCCAAAGTTTTCCACGACGTGTTTTTCAAACTTGAGATAAACAGCTGGCGTATGAGAAAAAGCTTCTGCCTCCACACTCATAGAGGGCTGTAACGAAAAGGGTGTTGGTGTCGGATCACGAGACCATGAGTGTATGAGTGAACTCGAATGAAGGTTTACTGAAGGGTTTAGTATGGCATCCGGATTCGTTATTGTCGGCTCGCTATCTACGCGAGAAAAAGCGCGAATATCACGCTGTTCAAGCACGTCTTCCGACTCCGAATGCTCGGGCGTTTGTTGTAGTTTTACTGTGAACATGATTTAGGACTAAAAGTTTATTATTTCTTTCAAGTATGTAGGGTATGTATATGCATATCTCGACAAATTAACCAATGAGAATTATCCCGAGGAAAAACTACAAATAATAAAATAATAATTATCCCGATGAGTCAACCAATGATAGTTGTTACGGAATAACCGTATGAAAAACTAAAAGCAATATTTTATGATCCGTTTTCAAATTCTCCTTGAAATACGGTAGCTTGTTCAAATTGCCGAAATTTCAAGACGTAACACGTTACCATGGCCCAAAGTAATAAACAAGCACTTAACGTTAAGGATGCGCTTTCATACCTTGATCTCGTTAAAATGCAATTCTCAGAACAGCCTGAGGTCTATAATCGTTTTCTCGACATCATGAAAGACTTCAAAAGCCAGGCTATTGACACACCTGGAGTTATAGAGCGAGTCTCTACCCTATTCAAGGGACACCCAGCGCTAATTCAGGGTTTCAATACCTTTTTACCACCTGGGTATCATATCGAATGTTCACACGACCCTGATTCGATCCGTGTTACTACGCCAAACGGGACAACAACAACACCAATAGGGCCTATGGAGACACATCACGGACAGTTATCAAATATCACTGGTACTGCATATTATCCAAATTCTGTATATCCACATCCGCCTCCACCCTCGTTGATGCCAGCTTTAACACATCCTCAAAATTCTTCGTCGCAAATGCAAGTCCCATATCATATGAGTTCATCGGTGGCTCAGCAAGCTATTGCGCAGGCAGTACAGTCAGTGGGCGTCGGCGTTGCAGGCAGCACTTCACCTCAGCAACAGGGAAAGAAAGCACCCGTCGAGTTTAATCATGCAATTAATTATGTAAACAAAATAAAAGTGAGCAATTCAATTCGTTAAAACTTTGTATCTATTTATCAAGATCTATATAATTTAAAGTTTATATTTTTCACGAAAAAACTATAGAATCGTTTTTCGACTGAGCCGGATACATATAAACAGTTTTTGGAGATTTTACAAACTTATCAGAAGGAACAAAAACCAATTCAGGAGGTAGTGTCTAATAAAACTTTATGAATCTATTTCTTTCTATTCGATTTCTAATTCATTTGATTCTTTTTTGATTAGGTTTACTCGCAAGTTCAGGTACTTTTTAAGAGTGCGCCTGATCTTTTGGACGAATTTAAACAATTCCTTCCAGATACTTCTGGTAGCGTTGCTCCCGGTGGACCGTATCCTCCACAAACTCATGGTACACCGAAACAATCTCACTTATTACCTGCAATTTCTGCACTTACAAATAGTAGTTCTGGTTAGCATCATCATAATTTTATGTTAAAATTTTATACGCCCTTTGATGATGTATTCACTATTAAATAGGTCCAAGATTACCTCCAGTCGGTAATTTTCAACCACAATCATCCTCATCTGTGCCAGTGATTAATGATTCATATAAAAAGAATTCATCAGGACTTGGATCAACTGGTTTATTATCCGCGGCCGGTGCAAATGCTGTAGGTTCATCGGGCGTCAACAAGAAAAAGAGGAATGTTCTCCCAAATTCAGAACGGAGTCCAAATCACATCTCTAATAAGGTTGGTTTCCTTCTATATTGTAAGAGTAATTGATTTGTATTATGTATATTAAAGCAGAAAATCTTGATTGTCATATAGCAGTCTAAGAAGTCAAAACTTTCCCACAAAGTATCTGGCGAACAAGCTCACTCGAGCTCGTCATCAATGGGTTTAAAAGCTGATTCAATTAAAACTTTAGAACCTCAGCCGCTCGCATCCACCGAAGAATTGGAATTTTTTGAAAAGGTCAAGAGGCATATTTCGAGTAAACAAAGCTATAATGAATTCCTCAAACTGCTGAATCTTTATAGTCAGCAGATTTTGGACGGCAAGGATTTGCTCAAATTAATAGCACCGTTTTTAGGTGGATCTAATTCCGAGTTATACGCATGGCTAAAACAATTCCTAAAGCTTAATGAAAGAGATGAAATAGTGCAGAATAAAGCAAATTCTAGGCCACGTGTCGACCTAGAAGGATGTATTTCACACGGACCTAGTTATCGAAAGTTACCCGATTCGGTGCGTGTACATCTTTGCATGACAAATCTATTTATAAATAAACCGTCTCATATCTCGCTATTTTAGGAGGCTAGCTTGTCATGTTCTGGCAGAGACGAATTATGCTATGAAGTACTTAACGATAAATGGGTATCTCACCCTACGTGGGCTAGTGAAGATGCAGGGTTCGTTTCACATAAGAAAAATCAATTCGAAGAGGCATTACACAAATGTGAAGAGGAGAGGTACATATCAAAAATTTTCGACTTAAATTATGGCAATCCGATTCTATTAGTTGAAATATTTTATTTCACTTTTAGATACGAATACGATATGTTCATCGAAGCGGTTTTACACACAATTCACTTATTAGAACCGATCGAGAAGAAGATTAATACTAAATTGACACCAGAGGAAAGGAGTAAATTTAAACTCGAGCCCGGCTTAGGTGGAAAATCGATGATATACCAGCGCGTCATAAAGAAACTCTATGATATCGAAAAGGGACTTGAAGTAATCGATGCCTTGCATAATAACCCGGGTACTGCTGTTTCGGTTGTGCTAAAAAGGCTCAGGCAGAAAGATGAAGAGTGGAAGCGGGCAAGAGTATGTGTCATATTAACAGTATATAATTCGATCGTTTTTTTTTTACTGAATTTGTTTGCACGGAAAATAATTAATTTAGAGAGAATGGAATAAGATATGGCGCGAAATTGACGCCAAAAATTATTACAAATCCCTTGACCATCAAGGAATTACATTCAAAAATGACGATAAAAAAGCTTTAACTCCCAAACATTTAGTTGCAGAAATCGAAAATCTTCGTCGTGAACCAACAGACGACGGAGAACCGGCTGAATATCAATTCAAATTCTTCTTTAAAGATTTGGACGTATTTAAGGATGTTGCTCGGATTCTCTTCGGGTACATGGATCGCTCGGGTGCCGTAGCTCCAAGCGATCGAGAAAAGATAGAAAAGTTTTTTAAAACGTTTGTTCCTAGCTTCTTCGAACTCCCTGTATCAATTTTTGAAGGCTTAAATCATGATGAGTCTGCAATGTCGGTAGATCACGAGGAAACAACGACCAACATGTCGATCGATAATACTGAGGGTGAACCGTTATCCACAGAACCGATAAGTGGAATGTGGATTCAGGTATCTAAGGAATCTCGTGAAAACATAAGAGCTGTGGTTGCCAATGCGGGAAACGATAAGCAAGAACGGAGATCTACTTGCTATTTCTTTGGAAACAATTCTTTTTATTGCTTCTTCAGATTCTTACAGGTAATAGAATTTTATTATTTTATTATTTTTTTTGTTTGTTTGTTTTAATATTCAATTTTGTTTTTTTATAGATGTTGTTTAGTCGCCTCGAATCAATGAAAGAGGCTGCCTCGGAAATTTCTTCTTCAACATCTCTGATAAGAAAGCAAAATGTTGTGGCAACTGACTTGGGCCTCTTGCCTGATCGCATTGACAGTAAGTTATATATAATTGTACTACGATGCTTAAATGTTGTTCAATGTTTAGTAATATATCTTATTTTGGAATTTCTAATTTAAGTGATATCGTAATTCTATAAATTTGATTAGTCGACGTTGATATCGATCTTACTCGAGGAGATCCATACTCAGTGATGCTTGAACTAATCGAGAAGCAATTTGATGGAGACCTGGAATTGCCAATGTTTGAGGAATGCCTCCGTTACATTTATGGAACAAAGGCATATATAATGTTTACCGTGGATAAACTCGTGCAAAACATGACTAAACAGGTATCGACCCATCTAATTGGTCTGTTGATACTGCTTTTTATTTGACCTCAATTAATCTACTGTTATAGATGCAATTATTAGTTTCGGACGCAAAATCCAATTCTCTGATCAATCTATTTGAAAACAATAAAAAACAACACGATCAATCAAGCGTTCGTTCCAACATAATGTATCAATTACATGCAAATAATACGATTGGCTATGACGAGCCAACTTATCGAATGGATTATGTATGTATATTATTCTTTCTTTACGAAATCTCTCTGAGGATTTGTTTAACTTTTTAATAATTACTGACCATAGGATAAAGAAGAACAAGCAATGACAATATTGCTATCTGGTCGAGATTGCACATTAGGAAGTGCTGTCACCTCCGAGGAAAAATGGGCGTATTACATGTACAGCTACATGTCATTGAACCCTACAGAAGGAGTGTCATCTAGAACGGAAAAACCATTCCTCAAAAGGTATTATGTTATGATACTATCTTATTGATTATTGAAATTATAATTCCCCAACTTTTTTATTATTTGTAGAAATCTGCCTTCCGTCGATGTTTCAGAACAGATTATGTCTAATGTTGTCACTCGTAATGGCTTGGAAATTAAAATTTGCATCAATTCATATCACGTGTTTTTTGTAAACAACACGGAGGATAGTTTTAGAAGAATACACTCTGCCATACCTGCGACGAAACTAAAGGAAGATACTGAACAACGAAAGGAAATTTGGAGACGTTGGTTGAACTCACGTCCTGGAGATGAAATGGAAATTTGATCAAGCCATTGCATCTATACAAATATCTTTAACCTTTGATTATTTGATTTGGGCATTATTTAATGATTATCGATTTACGATTTTTCAATATGAAATGAATTATTTCTCGAGTTCGACAAATAGCCAGCAACAAATAAACTTTATTTTTTTTTTACTAAAAATTATGATTGTGAATCTGTATCCCTAAAAAATTATTAGTCAATCATGCAATAATAACCTTTTGCCAAGTAACGTAATAATTTCACCACGGAAATTTTGCAACGGTCTTAGTTGTTGATTACATATAATTTATTATTAAAGATCATGATCTGACTTTCGTTACATTAAATTTGGGGTTTATAATAGGAATCATCCTGTCATGTGATGATAACAGATCATTCATATATAAAATTATACATTGCCTTTGTGGCTTTTTTCGTCTGAATTTTTTTCGTTCGAGACTAATGGAGAAAACAAAAAAACGCAGTATTGAAGAACCAAATACAAACACAATTCGAGTAAATGATACTGGACTCCAGAAAAACAATCAAGAGGAACATTCGAGCAAACGTCAAAGGACCGAGGTTGTTAGTAATCCTTACTTAGCGCATCTCAGCAAAAGTCCATTTGACGGATGGTTTGCAGGAAAAACTACAGCTGAACAAGCTCGAATCGCCGAAGAAGGTGAAATCAACCCGTTTACAAACAAGCCTTTTAGTAATCGATATTACGAAATATTAAAAAGTCGACGGACCTTACCTGTGCATGCACAAAGAAAGGAGTTTCTCGACTTAGTACACAATAATCAATTTGTGGTATTTGTTGGCGAAACCGGATCTGGGAAAACTACACAGTTAAGATAGTCTTAGTATATTTTTGAGGTTAAGGTTTAAGATGAATGCTCATTTCTATGTATTGTATTCAGAATCCCGCAATTTCTTTGCTATGATGTGCTTCCTCACTTGAAGAAGAAGCAAATTGCATGTACTCAGCCACGTCGAGTGGCTGCTATGTCTGTAGCCCAACGTGTTGCTGATGAAATGGATGTTAAGCTTGGTGATGAAGTTGGTTATAACATTCGTTTCGAAGATTGTTCGGGACCCAAAACATTACTGAAGTATTTGACTGATGGTATGCTCCTGCGTGAAGCTATGAATGATCCGAAATTAGAGAAATACTCTGCAATTATTCTCGATGAAGCTCATGAACGCACTTTAGCAACTGATATTTTAATGGGCTTGATGAAACAAGTATATCTACTTTTAATTTCTACTTAAAATTCATTTTTATAATCTAACCTAACCTTGTGATTTATTTAGATTGCCCTATCACGTCCGGATTTGAAAGTTGTCGTCATGAGCGCTACCCTTGATGCCGAAAAATTTCAAAAATATTTTAATGATGCACCAGTTTTGGTAATGATTAGTTTTATTGAGATTTATCTCTACATCCCTATATTATTAGTACTAAATTTATTTTTTTTTCACCAGACCGTGCCTGGGCGAACTTTTCCCGTGGAAATTTATTATACACCTGAACCGGAACGAGATTACTTAGAAGCAGCTATTCGCACTGTTATGCAAATCCACGAATGTGAACCACCTGGTGACATTTTGCTATTTCTTACTGGTGAAGAAGAAATCGAAAATGCATGCTCAAAAATTCGTTCAGAAGCCGATGAAATGATAAAACACCAGCCTAGTATGGGACCTTTAAAGGTTCTCCCTCTTTACTCGTCGCTTCCACCTCAACAACAGCAACGTATTTTCGAGGATGCACCTCCTCCGCGTGTCCCGGATGGAAAACCTGGACGGAAAGTTATTGTATCCACAAACATTGCCGAGACATCTTTGACAATAGATGGTATAGTCTACGTTGTTGACCCCGGATTCAGCAAACAAAAAGTATATAATCCTCGTATCCGCGTAGAATCCTTGCTTGTAAGTCCCATTAGTAAGGCTTCTGCTCAACAACGGGCTGGTCGTGCTGGTCGTACACGTGCAGGAAAATGCTTCCGCCTTTATACTGAGAAAGCATTTCTGAAAGAATTGCAAGAGCAAACATACCCTGAAATATTAAGGAGTAACTTAGGAAGTGTGGTCCTTCAATTAAAGAAACTGGGTATAGATGACCTAGTGCATTTCGATTTCATGGATCCACCTGGTAATCTAAAGTTGAATTCAAATTCGAATCATGATATTTGTATTATTTTTATTAAATTATGAATTTTTATAGCACCAGAAACTCTTATGCGAGCTTTGGAGCTTCTGAATTATCTCAGAGCACTTGATGACAATGGTGATCTTACTGCCGATGGTCATCTAATGGCCGAATTTCCATTAGATCCACAATTGGCCAAAATGTTGATCGAAAGTCCTAAGTATAGGTGCTCTAATGAAATCTTATCGATTACAGCATTGCTATCAGGTTTAAATTTATTAAAATGCTTAGTACTTTGATTAAATTTGAGCAGGAAAGCTTCGTGTACTAAAAACACTTTTTAAAATTATAAAAAAAGTCCCAAACGTTTTTCTGCGTCCAAATGATTTGAAAAAGCAAGCTGAAGATGCGAAGAGCAAGTTTGCACATTCAGACGGAGATCATCTAACCTTGTTGAACGTATATCATGCCTACAAAACAAGTAAGCCGATATTATTCTACTATTAAATTATTATTATTTGTTTATAATAATTTTATGTTGGATTTGACTTTCTCCAATAGATATCAATGATCCAGATTGGTGTTATAATAATTTTCTCAATGGTCGAACTCTTAAAGCTGCTGATAACGTCCGTCAGCAACTCAAGCGAATAATGGAACGTTGTGATCAGGAGTTGGTCAGTACACCGTTTGCAGACAAAAATTACTATACAAATATACGACAAGCGTTGACAGCTGGGTTCTTTATGCAAGTAGCGCATTTAGAGAAATCCGGTCATTATTTGACGTGTAAAGATAATCAGGTATTATTCATAATTTGAAAAACTTATGAAATTCGTTAAAGAAATGATAATTAGACTTTTAAATCTAATTTAATTGATAACCTTTAGACTGTTCAGCTACATCCCTCATCATCACTCGGACATCAACCCGAATGGGTGTTATATAATGAGTTTGTTCTTACGACTAAAAAGTATATTCGTACTGTAACCGAAGTAAAAGCTGAATGGTATTTATCAATAAATGCATTCTCAATATTACCGTATTATGTCTCATTTATTTGCTATTTTTATTTTACCATCATTAGGCTCCTAGATATTGCACCAGTGTACTATGATCTTAGGAATTTTCCGGATTGTGAAGGAAAACGAGTTTTGGAAAAAATCATGACAAGAAGATCTAGAAGAAAATAAAACAAGGTATTCCTCTTGTCAAAACTCTGCGGATTTTATTATTTATTTTAAAAAGTACGAATATCTATTTGTCTTTTTTTGTTGCGATACTAACAATGCCTCTTGTCCAATGAACAATGTTGATAAAAAATGATCAATACAGATATATGTATATGTACTTAGCATATATGTTTGATAAATAACGCAATGCTTAAATTGATAGAACAGGGTTTAGTTAAATTTAGGTTTATATCGAACCTTCAAGATATCTTACCTTAGGTCTTTGTCTGATTCGTACCAACCGCACATTTATAAGAGATCAAATCCAAAGACATTAGTGAAATCAATATAACGATATATATTAATAAGAATAAAGGTAGGTTAATGTATATCCTTGCTACGGTAGTACTTCCAGCAATTCGGCGGTCAGTAACTTCATCGAATTTATTGTTTTTAAATCGCTGAGGATGAGTTGATAGACAATTTTGTTAAGGTTATAGGAATTATTTTATTATTAGTAATGAAAACAATTTTGGTAAATCAAATAAATTTTTAAGATACTTTGCATTTCCGTGTAATATAGAATATTTTGATTTATAACAACCTTTTTAATAAATATTATTTAAATAAATTATTTTATTATACTGCTTATTAAATGCAAAAATTGAATATATTAGTATATTAATTTATATATTTTTTAAAAATCAGATTTCTAAATTATTTTAAATTTTTAAAAGGTTAATATATTAATTTAAAAATTATTTTGAAAAAAACAATTTAAGTATATATTTTTTTATTGCAAATAAGCATAAAATATATAAGTTTAATATAATAGGTTACAACTCAGATATTAAATTAATTATAAGTTGATACCATTTTGGTATTAGTTTAGAACCCTAAGTTAATTCAATTATTTTGATGTAAAGGATTCTTTTCTTTTACAAAACATAAGAAAACTTAAAGTAATCAAAGTCAAAAAAATAGAAAAACAAATAACATTTAACTTTAATATACTAAAATTATTCAATTATAGAATATAATTTATATTATAATGTGATATAAATTATTTGCTGTTAATTCAATTTTCAAAATCTTCAAAAATAATTATGATATGTCTCGATTATTTATGTTTTAATAGTGATTCAATTAATTGTACCAAATAATTATATCAATTATATCAAGAATTTATAAATTTCAACAATATATATATATTATATTATATATGTTTTATAATTATAAAAAAAAATTTCATTGATAAGTATTTTTTGGAACTTAAAATGAATTGAAAAAACAAAGATTATCTGTTATAAGTAATAACAATCTAGACAAAAATTGTTAAAACTAAATAAGCTTAGTAAGAATTTTTTAAGATTAAATTGAAATCCAAATATGGATGTTAATTCCACAGGTAATAAAAATAGTAGTGCAACATTTTGCTAGTGGCACATCTCAAGAAAAAGCAATAATAGTAACTGGAATATTAGGATTAATCTCAATAATAATATTCTATATGACTAAGGATCCTAACAATTTAATTCAATTCAATTTTCAATTTTTAGGTTTATATTAAATTTAATATGTAGATTATAACACATTATTATTTTTAATAGTGTTTTAATCTTATATGAGTCTATGCAAATCTGTTTGATTTCAATTTTTGGAACCATATATATAATCTTTTCCTAATGAACAGTCAAAAAATACAATTAAATCAATAGAATAGTAAATTTAAACTAATGATAAGATTTTTTTCATCATATATAAGTTCTATTTGATATAAACCCATCTACTTGATACAAGCTAGCCAATCAAGATAGTTAAATTAGTCTTTGAAAAATCAGTATTATTAAAAATGATAATTACTTTTTTTTTTTTTTTAAATACTAAGGTGAGACAATACTTTAGTTTTATTAACATAGATAGTTTTTGTTACATATGTACTATGTCTATACTATATTAATCTTATATTAACTAGAACCTACCTACAAGTTTAACCTATCCAGGTATAGTCTGCCACCCTGCTTGCT